CTAAGCCACGGGGCCAGCCCAGTCCTTTCCCTTCTTGACACATCCCCAATCCTTACTTCCTTCTCCTCTCTTGGATTGACACCAAACCCTGCTGGCTTTCTTCTGCCATTCCACCTGCTCCTTCTCAGTCTCTTTTGCAGGCTTCTTTTCTTCTACGCAATCTTTAAATATCAGTTTCCCAGGACTTGGTTTATTCTCTCTCTTCTTCTTCTGCATGCTCTCCTTAGATGGTCTCAATCGTTGCCATAGCTTTAAAGTACTACAAATATGCTGACATCTCTGAAATTTCTAACTCCAGCCAGCCCAAACCACTCCTCTGCACTCTAGATTCATATCTTCAACTTGACATCTCCACTTGGATATCTCAGTATGTCCCCCAAATTCCCCCCAATGCCTGTTCCTCTTTAGGTCTTCTTATCAGCAAATGGTACCACCATCTACCAGCTGTTCAAACCAAAACCTAGGAGTGACTTTTAATACCTCCCTCTTCCTCATATCACACCAATCCTTTAGCAAGTCATGCCATTTCTGCCTCTTAATTTTATCATGACTCTGTCCACTTCTCTTTATATCCTCTGCTACCATGCTAGTCCAAACCACCATCATCTGTCATTGGACTTAGCAGTGAGTTCCCATTACACTCCTTGCAATGACTCTTGCTACCCCACCATCACAATCTTATAGTCTATTCACCACACTGTATCCACGTATTCTTTTAAAATAGCATTCTACAAACTGCAGGATGTGACTCAACGGTAAATTGTGAAATGAATTTCGAATTGTGAATTCTATACCTGGGTAAAATCATGACAAGTATTTAAAAAGTAAAAATAAAACAAATTTCAGTCAGATTTATATATGTATGCATGTACTGAGCCAGGATGTAAAATGTGTTTGTTATTGTAAATAGCTGTCAAAGGTCTGAAACCACTTTATAGAGGAATAAACAAGATCATGTCACACTCCTGCTCCATTGCCTAAAAAGCCCTGCATGATCTGGCTGCTGCCTACCTCTCCAACCTTAACCTCAAGCCACTCTCCTTTCCCCATCGCCCAGTATTTTCTAGCTACATTCATCTCTTTTTCAGTTCCTTGAATAAAACAGCAAACTTTTACATAGTGCCTACTATATACCAGGCATTGTTCTGAATGCTTTGTGTATATGAATGCATTTAATCCTCATAATAACCTACGAGGTAAGGACTCTTAGTATGACCATTTTACAGATGAGGGAACTGATACACAGGAGGGTAAGTAACTTAGCCAAGGTCATACAGCTTTTTAAGTGCCTGAGCTAATATTCAAACCTAGGCAACCTAGTTCCAGAATCAATGCTCATAATTACCATAACATACTGCCAACACACATGCCAAGCAAGCTCTTTCTCAATTCACACCCTGGGCATATTTTTCACTCTGATCCTCAAGAGAAGAGAGTTGATCTGTCTTGTTCACTAGCACAGCCTTGTACCCAGTACAGTGCCTCACACAAAGCAGATAGTGAATACTTCCTAAATGAATAGTTCATGTTTAAAAAGCATTGATTTAATGAATGAATGATGTGTAAATAAAAGATTCTATAACACGCACACAATATGCACTCTACAAATAATAGTTCCCTTCACCTTTCACTAAATTTCATGCCTTCATTTTAGTTTTCCAGTCCTTAATTTTGACCATTACAATTTTTTAGCCACCTCATTATATCTCACTATGTCTACTTCATATTTCCTAATACTATTAAATGCTTATTTTCTCCTTTGCTCTCACTTTTATGCAAATTTGTTGATAAATGAGTATAGTAACATACAAATAAAAATAAAATCGAATACCTTTTTACCAGTCATAGGACAGTCTAAAGTGAAGAGGGCTTGCTTATATCACATAACTCGTAAAAATCTACATGAACCTACCTTCAAGACCAAGGTCTTTAAGGACATGATAACCACCTGGCTGCAGAAATTCTCCGACTATCCTGTCAGGCTCTTTTAAATCTCTCTCAATTACTGTCACCTTTCTTCCATCTCTGGAAAGCACTGCTGCCAAAGCAGAGCCAAGTACACCAGATCCCACGATGATAACTTCTGGATCATTTTGAGAAGATATCGATGAAGAGGGAGCTGCTCCTATTAAGGTTGTTTCTGAAATATTGGTTCCTTTTTTGCGCTGTTTAAAAAGAAAAAGTGAATTATGTAGCCGTGTTGGTTATCCTCAAGTCAAACTACTACTATATAGACACAATGGACTTTTGCATCTTGGGCAAACACTACACCCTAAACATTATCAAACCAAATGAACTGTTACATTTTAAATCCAGATCATATATAAAAACCAATGATATCAAAACATTGGTTAAATAAAAATGTAATAATATCCCAATAAAATTAAATATATATTCTGTTTTCCAAATATATTTAGAAAATGCTGTTATACAGACATATTGAGAAATCTACATCAGGCCAAATATAAAAAAATATTTATAAAGGGCTTCAAAGACTTACTATAGGGAAAATTCTACCATTAATTACTCAATTCTTCAAACATATACTGAGCATCTTATCTACCAGATGCAAATCACATACAACCTCTAATTTGACTTTATGTTGCAAACTATTCATCACCTTTTAGATATTTCCACTATTCATCTTTATTTTTTCCTTCTGGATTTTCATCTGAAAAATCTATCTTAATCTAAAATCATTTTACATAACAGAAAAACTGTCAAATTGTGGCTACTGAGCTATTAATTGAGAATTATTTAACTCAACAATGTTTAAACAGAACAAAATAACTCCTTCTGTCCCTTGGGATTCGATTTGTTCACAATTTTAGTCCTTAACATATAAGAATATACTTAATTTACCCCTTCTTTTTTCCCCATCCTGATACTCTAAGAAAGCCTGGTCAACCAAATTAGGAACAAGACAAACATTAAACCTATCACTAGTTGTGCTGACAGTAAAAACTTTAACTTTGATCATTAAGAAGATGAAAAAGTCCTGTTTTGAGAGATTTATGCCCATTGAGAATAACAAGGCCTCTTGGGGTTTTTTTAACAAACAATTCAACGTTGTTATAAGTATTTTCTCTTGGTATGTGGATTCTCAAATAGGAATACATTTCAGATACAGAATTGCAAGGAAGGATCTTCCTTGAGTTCTCTGACCTTAATTATTAAGGTAAGGCTAAATGCCATCTTGAAGGGGTTTTAATAAAAGACTTCAGGCAAAAAGGAAAAAGATAAAACCTAAACTCCTTTAGAATTTTAATTCTCTGTGATTCTAACATTCATCCAGCCTTCCTTTACCTCTATAATGGACTGAATCCTGGTCCACCTTTTCGTCCTTTACCAAGAGGAGAAGACAATAGAGTCTACTCTTCCCATCAGTATTTCTTAATGGCCAGAACAAAGGACTATATTTAAATTACTGTTCTGAGAGCAAGATAAGCTCCTTTTGTCATCTTAGCCATTTTTTATTAGTTTTTCTTCCTAAGTTTTCCCTGTTACACACACACACACACACAGAATCCTGCAAAGGAAACTCTAGAGGAAGTTAACTCTTTCAGAGCCTGGTCAGTAAGAGGAAGAGTGGGAACTTAGTACTCAATACACAGTCCACCAACTCCCTGGTGTTTAGCAAAGAAGCAGAAAGCCTGAGGCATTCACAAAGTGGAACCAATACTGACTGCTGGTAATTCAATTTTCCTATTCAAAAATTTCTCCACATGCAATGTAATGGCACTCCAGCCACCTGGACTAGTGCTCACTGCCCCTGAGGGAAATTATCTCAGACCAGACCAAAGATTTCAAATTGAGAAAGATTCCCTCCCCCTCCTTTCCATTCTCCAAGCCCCTCCTTTCCCACTCTCTGACCTAAGGTCAGAGAACTCACTGAACTCAGCCCTACTCACAGGGTTCCTAACAGATGTAAACTACCTTTAGACTAATATTAATAGCTACTCTTTATTACACAGTTGCAGACCAGGCATTGTGCAAACATTGAGTCATTTAACTCCCTAACTACCAGCAAGGCTAGTGCCATCCCCATCTAACAGAAGAGGTAACTGATTCTTACAGTTTTTTTTTTTGCCAAGGGTCTCACAGCCAGAAGCAGTAGAGCAAAATTCTAAACCAAGTCCTCTCTTCTGTAAGCCTTGCTAATCTGTACTACAGATACAATAAAATAATGTAGGTCCAGAACCCTCAAAGAGTAAATTACTTTGTAGGCCACTCACCCTAACTCCAAGTCACCATCATCCCTCACTTGGCCTACTGCTGTAGTCTCTTACCTGATAACCCTGCTTCCATTCTTGTACCTCTACAATCCATTCTCTACCCTGCAACTGGAATGTTTTTTTAAAAATCAAATATTGTTACTCCCATGCTTAAAATCCTCCAGTGCTCTTGTGAAAAAGTCCAAACACCCATGGCCAACCGCCCCTAAATGTTCTGGTTTCAACAACCTCTGTCATCTCCTACCATTGTCCTCCTCTGCTGTCTTTGCAGGGATCATAACTTCACATGTATTTGAAGACCAGCCTTTGATTTAGGAAGACGACTGAACCGTGGACATTACTCAGTTATTCACCTGATTTAGGACATTACTACATTGATTTACTCAAGGCTCCACTGATGTGGGGAGAGGAGGGTACTTTGCCCGAGACTTTAAAATGCTGAGCATTTTTATTCTACCAGCTTTTCGAATTGCTCTGTTCCTCTCCCCAGCCAGCTGTCACTTCTTGGACTTACCTGCAGCAGATTTCTTTCCTCCCAGGTACAAATACAATCCTTACCCAAGGATTTAAATAAAACATTTTTTTTTCCATCAGGGAAAGTGATTGTGTCCTCCTTCAAAATGAAATTTTAACATTTCATTTCACCTTTCATAAATCAATATTCATAATCAAGTCAATTTCAGTTAGCATTGGCTCAACCAACGCTAGATGAAACAAATATTTTCAATCACTCCTAAGAATGTCAAGGACCTAACCAAGAAAGTCAAGAACTTAAAAAAAACAACTAAATGAGAGTTCATACCAGAGTATCTAAACTGCTGCCTTTTGCCCTTTAAAGAAGAAGAAAATTTACATGTGAGTGACCCCAATCCTAATTTTAAAATAAGACCTTCATTCATTTGCCCACTTCGAATTCAACCTACCCTTCTAGACCCAAGCTGCTCTTTATTCTCTGAGCCCGGGGGGGATTTGGCCCAGAAGAAGCCAATGAAAGGCAAGGCTGACAGCATATCCGAGAGGACGGCGAACTGGGAGCCGCTCTGCTGGCGCCCGAGCAGGGCCCCGGGCCGGTAGCGGCAGCGGTAGGAGAGCACCAGGCCCAGCGAAAGGAACACCAGGACGCACAACAGGAGCTCCTTGTTGGCCAGCGTGACGAAGTCTCCGCATTTCTTATAGAAATAGGTGAACGTGGCAATGCCTAGAAAAGTCCACATGCTTCAAAGGCTCCTTGGGTGACACCGGGTCAACGGTTGAGATGCTTTTGTTCCTTGTAGGGTTTTGGTGATCAGAGGCTCCCCCCCAAAATGTGTCACCAAAAAGAGCACGGGGAACCGGCCAAACTCCAGGCAACAGTCACAGTGTGACCATTCGAATCGGACTCCTTTACAAAACCATACAAAGTGAGTATAAAAGTACCTCCAGGGGGCACTTAGAAAGCAGTCTTAAAAAACCGCCTGCCCCCAACGCTCCCGATGAGACTCGCCTCTTGCAGGCAATCCATTTATTTCCTCTTTTACTGTTCTGCTCTTGGACGGGCTCGTCCCGGGGTGGCGGCGGGTGATGTTTTCGGTTTTGACGTCGGCTCCTCGTGCTGTAGAACTGTTCCCTCTCAGCAGCAGCAGGGAAGGGGACGGGGGAACTCAAAGCAATATCCCGGCGCTGCGCTGACTGCGGCCTCGCGGCTCCCGACAGCGAGGCCCCGGCGGTGGGAGCGCGGGGGCTGCCGAGTCGGAGTCCCCTCCTCCCCGAGGCCGCCCACGCGCAGGGGGGACCTCCGGGCTGCCGCCCGCCACCGAGGGCGGCCTCGCCCCGAGACCGCGGCTCCAGGCGGGCAAACGCAGCCCCCACCTCGAGACGTCCTCCTCGGCAGCGGCTCCCGACTCACCAGCCCCCGAACCTTCCAGTCCGCGACTTCGTGTCCCCGCCGATGAACGCCGGTCTCCAGAGAGCTTCCCTCAGCGGGCCGCGGCGCCTCCCGGCGGCCTCCTCGCCAGCATCCGTCCCGGGCGGCGGCTGCCCTCCCCCGCGCGGCGCTGCCGCAGTAACCGGAGTAACCGCCGCGCCCTTCGCTCGTCGTGGGGACCCGCGCGCCTCAGCGGCTGGAGGGCTCGGCCCAGGTGAGGGACCAGGGGGCGGGGCTCCAGGGGGCCCGCCCCGCCCCGCGCGCCCGCGCCCTGCGTGCAGGCCCCGCCCACTGCCGCCGTCAGCCAATGAGGGCGCGCACCGCGCGGTAGGCTGAGATGGCGCTATGCCGCGTTTGGCCAATCGCAGGCGGCGCGGCCGGCGCGGTGACGCCCGGAGAGGCGCTAGGGCGATGTTGCGTGGTGTGGGGTGGGGGCGTGGGGATAGGGGCCGTCTGCCTGGTGGGCGGGTGGGAAGGCCCTGGCTGGCTCCGGAGAGGGTGGGACTGAAGGGGTCGTGCCCGGGGTTCCGCGGTCGGGTTACCCTCCGCAGCCCCAGCTGCTGCAGTCATACCGGGGGGAGGTGGAGCTAGTTCCGAGGAAACCCCTGCCAGGAGATCCCCCGCCTAATGTTCGAGTGTTTTCATTCACGCAGCGAGTTTTTATCGAGCGCTTACTACCGGCCGGGTTCTGGGGTCCTGGAGATGAACCTGACGCAGCCTTTCTGTCCTGTGCGTAGTGTATGTAGAGGGCGGTAGAAAGGGCTCCTGGCGCTTGGAGAACGTGGCTTTCAAGCTGAATCTGGAAGAAGGAGTAGGCAGGCATTTGCCAAGAGAAGAAAGGAGGAGAGGATATGCTAGGTGTTTCCTTCCTTCGCCCGAAATTGTCAGGCTTCCACGTCCTTGTCACTGTGCTCAGGCTAAAGATACACTGATGTGCGTAGCCCCTGCTCGCTCAAGATCAGAAACTAGGGGAGAGGGGTAGAAAGCAAGGAAGTAAAATAAATAGAAGTGTCACAAGTGCCCTGAGAGTGGGTGGACGGGAAACCGTGAAAACAGGAAGCAGTGTATCCCTCAACTGGAGGGAGTCAGGCATGGCCTCCGAGGCAGTTACATGAACTGCGTCCAGGACAAGCATTCTAGAGGGAACAAAAATGTGCACGAGTCTCAGGATGAGAGATGGCCCTTGTTATGAAATGATGAAACTTGAATTTATTGAGACCTAAAGCTAATGACTTTGCTTACCCTGTTGCTTAACCCTGGACAGCCTACTTTAAATGCTATGACATATGTAGAAGTACTTTGTGACATTTGGAGCATGCCTTTCTTGTCCCCTCTTCCACTAAGTCTCCATTGAACCTGGCCAAGTCACATAATAGTTTATTCACACCTTGTTGTACTAATCTCTGACTGCACACTTACAGTTGAGTCTTATCTCACTAATCCCTATGTTTGTGGAGGGAAGG